AAAGGAATCGCAAAAATCTCCAAGTAGTAGATAAACAAAAGAATACTGGTCTTTAACGAGAAGGTTTGCAAAAGGTAAAGTGAGATGTAGGAAAAGATGAAAACGGGAAGGGAAGGAAAAACGAGAATCTTAATCTGCCTAGTCCTTCTGTCGGTTGGTCAGTTTTTCCTTCTGTTCATCCATTAATCCGTCCGGCTATCTGCCTTAATTTCTCCTTCTATCCGTCGGTCAAAAAAGGGAGCCATTAATTATGATTGATAGATTCTCCTACCTATTCCAGACCTTCAAGGTCTCCTGAGATCCTGACAGAACGCACATGCCATCTGAACTAAGGCTGATGGTCCTACGAAGAGAAATCATTCGGTCACTCAAATATTTTTGATTATTTTTCATACTCCACTGGAAGATTGATGCGGTGTTCTAACCCTTGGGTGCAAGCATATTTCTAAAGTTTACAGCCATTCTCAATCACACGCGACCTCTTGCGATTTTTTCTGTCGCGACGAAGAAGGTTTTGGTGGACGTCAATAACAAGGCGTTTCCATAACAATGTCAGAAAACACAAAGTTATAAGGGCACGTGCCTATAGAATGTCATGGAAACGCCTTGATTGACGTTCACCAAAAACTACTTCGTCGCGAAAGAAACGCGTCGCGGCGCGTGTGATTGAGAATGGCTGTAAAGATGTTTGGCTCACACTTCATGCGAGTAATCTATTCATCCATACCTCTCTAAAGTCAATCATCCCTTCTACACCTCCCATCAATAACCACTAGGGTGTGAAAAAAAGCTGGACAGTATTTTGGGGCTGTATTAGGGGACATATTTCCAAGATGGTGAGTATTTCGTACCCCAAAAAGTCTCACAATGCACTGCAATGCCAACTCGATTATGCCAATTATGCAATTGTTGCCATGTAGAGGGATGGGTATGTTCGTAAAGCTTTCCATGTTATTTTGCCGACCTTCCCCCGTGCTAATAATCCCCTTAATATCGACTGATAAAGCCTTACCTTACGTCTGAGCGGTGTCCAGGCTGTCTAACGTGTTCTACAAGGGAAGACTGCGGAATCTGACCAGAAACTGGAATATTATGGACTTCTATAGTGTTATTTTGGAGGAGCAGCAGCACCTGAAATATGAAGATCCAAACATTGAGGAGGAATGAAGCCAAGGAAAATAAAATCAAGTAGTAGTAGTAGTGGTAGTAGTACAAAGGAAGGAAGGAAGGAAGGAAGGAAGGAAGGGAGGAAAGTAAAAAAGAATGAAAGAAAGAAAGAAAGAAAGAATGAATGAAAGAATGGATGGATGAATGGAAGGAAGGAAGGAAGGAAGGAAGGAAGGAAGGGAGGAAGGAAGTAAGGAAGGGAGGAATGTAACAACGATAAAAAGAAGGGAAGTAAGAGAAGGGAATGGGAAAAAAAGAATGAAAGAAAGGGAGAAAAGAAGGATGAATGTTAGATAGAAGGAAGGTACGAAGGAAGGAAGGATGGAAGGAAGGATGGAAGGAAGGGAGAGTGGGCAAGAAGGCGCGAGGGAAGAACGCAGGCAACCGCATTCATTAAGGAATTTTTTTTTTTCACTGCTAACATGAATACCTAATTTCCAAGGCTATTGAGGCGCGACAACTTCAAAGCAGCCCCATGGCTCAACCTCTTTGCGGTTGCCTGGGTACAGTTTATGACRCATGACTGGTTTGAACACGGCCAACCCACCCAAGAGGACCCTATTGAGGTCCCTYTAGAGACCGATGACCCACTGTATGAAAGAATGCAGGGTAAGTAAGATGGTTTTCCTGGGGTGAGGAAGAGATTGCATATTATTGAAACGTGTAATTACACATGTGTTGTATGCACGATGACGTAATTTAACTCCTACTACCATAATGCTTGGAGAATTCACCTTTTCGGCGCTTTTTCGGCGCGGATTGTGTTGCGKTCACCAAAAAGGTCGGACACTGTTCTCGGATTCCCATACAAATTCACTGAGTTTAAAGAAAAAATTTAGATAGATTTCTTTAGTTAGCTATCTTAACAGCAGAGAGAAAAGCTTCAATAAAGCTAGAAAAACGATAATTTCTTTGTATTTAGAGAACTAACTAAACAAACCAAGTAAATAGTTCATTTTAAGTCAGTACATTTGTACGGAAATCCGACAACAATGTCCGAACTTCTTGGTGACCGTAACACAATCCAACACAATTTATACCACGTGACGGCTAGCGCCGAAAAGTTGAATTTTCTTTCTTGTTGAAATTTGTATTCCTCACGAGAATGGTAAGACAATTGGGGCTAATTAACTGAACAAAAGAAAGTGCTCAGGTTAGTAGAGGTCAATGAAGCCATCATACAAACGTGAACGTCCTTTTGGCTTAGCGACAGACGGGGAATCAGGTTTATTAATCAGTTACCAAGCAAATCCCCCCTACCCCATCCCGGGTAAAAAAAATGATCAGTCCCTTAAGTATATTYCTTTGGATATAGGAAAGATGTACGTCAAAAGGACTCGGCCAGATACCTGCAAAGAAGACCCCACCAGACCAAAGACCTTCCAAAACCAGGTTACTCATTGGTGGGACGCATCACAGATCTACGGGAGTGACAAGGAGACAAATGAACGAGTAAGATCGATGAAGGATGGCAAGTTGAAGGTTGACGACGAGGGGTTTATTCCAACTGATCCTAAAACTAGGATAGAAATTACRGGTAATGAGTTATGAATTATAGATTAAATGTAATATAAATTGTTAAATATGTGAAATATAAATATATTAAAAGAAATAAAGGAAACGCGTGCGTGTACTGTAAACCAATAGAGAAAATGCGACCATTTCATTATCATTTTAACCTTTAAACACTTTTTAATAGACCCTTTTCGAGTTCAAAATTACCGCTGTGTTTCTTGATTACAGACTCATTTAAGCAGGGTTAGCCTCGATTTTGTGTAGAATATTCACGTGTTCCAGTCAAGGTCCGTCGAGTTTCAAAGTGTTTGTATATTGTTGAAGTTGTGCATTCTTTACTTTACCGTTGGTATTTGTGAATATTTGGACACTGATTCGAGGCTAAGCCTGTGTAAATGAGGCGGTAATCAAGAAACAAAGCGGTAATTTGGAATTCGRAWGGGGTCTATTCAACCATAAGGCGCTTCTATCTTAGTAGTATAGAAATTTCATTTTCTGAATACCTGTAAGAAATAGAAAGCGCGTGCGCGCGTTGTGTGCAGTTATAAAGCACATGGCGGTTGGCAGGGAGCAAGAGAAGTGTAAGGAGAAGTACAACGCTTAGAAGAGTACAAATGAATAGGGAGGGATTATGAATGAAATAAATAGAAAATGCGCGCACGTGTGGTACCATCAAGCACGCTCCTCGATCGCGACCATAAACTGCAATTAATGAACAATTATACTGATATAAACATGTATGTAGTTTTTGGTTCTAATGGGAAAATATTATCCTAATCATCTTAAGAAAAAGTAATGCTCAAGAGAATGAAACGTGGTCTAAAATGGGAAAACATTACGCGTTGGTTGATTTGTTCAACTGACAAACTCAAAACTAGAGTTTTCAATCTGTGTATTTTAATTTCTMCAGGATTCTCGAATAATTGGTGGGTTGGCCTGAGTCTTCTACACAATGCCTTCACTCATGAACATAACAGTGTCTGCGACATGTTGAAAAACAAACACCCTRGTTGGTCCGATCAGAAAATCTATGACACCGCGAGGTATGTTAGTATTGTTCTTTTGTTAACAGAGCCATTCTTTAGGCGTTATTTTTTACAGTTTTAGTTCGAGTCCTACCGATCTCGATGTCGTATGTGAGTAGAGTTGTTTGTTGGTTCTCTCCTGTRCTTCCAGGGCTTTTCTCCGGGTTCTCCGGTTTTCCTCCCTCCTCAAAAATCAACTCCTAAATTCTAATTCGATCACTGGGCTTTCACTTAGTTTGGAGCCTAGCTCTGTKGTGATTGTCCCACGCTGTGATAAAACAGCGAAAAGCTTTGTAGGTTTTTTTCATTGGTTGTGCCGCAAGGTTATACCATGATCACAGACCACTTCTCCTTTACCAGAAAATCTATGATACCATCAGAGTTTTTTTTGTTTTTTTGTTTTTTCTATTTTTTAATTAGCCTAATTAGTTTGATTAGTTTAATTTTTCCTTTTCTAAATGACATGTGTTCTGAAATGTTCCAAAAAACATTACKCCCAAGTGGGTTTTGGTCCAATCCTGTGATATGTCGTGACCTTTAGCGCCAAAAGGCAAAACACGTTTGCCCTTTTCCCTTGTTTATTTATAACTAAGCAATGATCAGATCCTTCTGCATGTAGCGCAAAGCTATAGACCCTTTGCACTGAGTCCCGAGAGGA